GGCTTTAGAATCCATGGTAACAATGAAAAGACCCCAGTAAATTTCCCCCTGCCTCCTTAGCCCTGAGTGCAGCAGAAAAACCCCTGGGAGTCACAGCCAGCATTGCTCTCTGCCAACCCAACAGCGTATAATAGAGGTGCTCCTCTTCTGGCCCTTGGGGACTCTGTCTTTGATATCCTATGTGCTTTTTCTGGGCAGCAACAACTCAGTCAGTTTTTGGAGGTTCCCCCTCAAACCCCAGAGCCTGCACCGAGTGGGAAACCTGGCCCTGAGTAGCTTCTAAGCATTGTTAACATTAGGTCCTTATTCGGCTTTCGGGGGCAGGACAGATGCCCCAAGGGTCAGCTGAGGCTTCGTCCCTGGCTCTGTGCTTCAGGTCCAAAGCAAGCAGCTCCGCCCACAGTCACCACAGTCTGCATGCTTCTGCTGAGGTCCATCCCTGCGGTGGCAGCCAAGGCCATGACCTTGGGCCCCCGGGAGGCCATCCCTTTACCCCTGCACTCCTCTGTGAGGGCCTACCTGCCGGCCAGCAGACCCACTGTCCCATGAGGTCCCTCCCCACAGCCCCAGATCCAGCCTGACATCCTTCTCTTTGTTAGGGTCACAGCAGGTTGGTGGCCAGACCGGGCAGGACATTCGCAAATGCCTGTCCCCCCTTCCTCCTCCTGAGAGACTCCCCGTTCTCTGAACCTCAGCCAGCACAGGTACCTCACCTCTGAATGTGGGTGACAGGCACCTTCTTCCGAATGGATCTAGGAAGTCAGACCAGTTCCCCGGTGACCTCCAGTAGGAGACTGGAGCTGGGCTTCCACCCTGAAACACCCCCACCGACCCTCATGGCCTGGGGACCCTCTGGCAAGCAGGTGCAGCTCAGGGGAAGGGGGTCAAAGCTTGTGTCACTCAGGCCTCTGCAATCACAAGTGCTACAAACCGTCAGGACCCCTTCCCTAAGACCAGCCTTCCGCCCCCTTCTGCTCCTGCCCCCACCTCACACAGCCCTCCCCCCTCCCTTCTAGGGTGGTGGATTTCCGGGGTGGGGAGGGGCTTTGGGTGCCTCCTGGCCTCTGCTGTCCTACCTGATGTTCTGACAGTAGTTCATTCTTTGTGACTGTTGCTTTAATCCTGTGTCCCCTTGCCCCCCAGCACCGCAAACCCTAGGGGGACAGGAACGTGCCCCCTATGGAGACGGAATATGCGTGACCTCAAGCCTCCCGGGGGACCTGGTCTCACCCGTCTGCTCCAGTTCCATGAGCTAGCTTCTGGCGCTCTTGCCTGGCTTCGGGGCGTGTGTCTCTCCTGTCTCCTCTCCTCGGAGCTGAGACCTGGAAACACCTGCACGCTGGCTTCCTCGTGGACATCTCGTTCATTCATCCAACAGTATTTCGTGAGCCTCCAGCTATGAGCCGAGGGGCCTGCCCCGGTGGGAGTTCCCTTCCAAAGGGGAGGCAGCCACCGCTGGGACTGAATGGAAGCGACAGGACGCTGAGGGAGAGTCACGGGGGGATCCAGACAGAGGTCTCTCAAAGCAGGCGGCCTCTGAGGGGTGCCCGCGGCTGCGCAGTGAGCCGAGGAGGGCTCTGGGCAGGGTGCCCAGGGGTACGTGTCCACCCGCTGTCTCCAAAGCATCCAACGCAAAAGCTCGAAGCTGAGTTTCACAGAACCCGTGCTCGGCCCTGTCCCCCTCCTGGTTTCCCTAGATTAGGAGGGGCCCTTCCATCCAGCCACTGTGCAGGCCAACAGCCCAGAGGTCCACCTGGACACCCCTCCGCCCCCACCTCCAATCGCCGGGTCCTGTGGGTTGTCCTGGGAATCCGGCAGTGTCCTCCATCCTCCTGGTCTCACTGCCCCTGCTCTCCCCCCTACCAGGCGGCCACCCCTGCTGACTCCCTCCTTTCATTCTTGTGCTCTTCCAACCCGGGCTCCATATTGTGCCAAGTGACCTTCTAAAAAATGCACATTTGCTCCTGTCACTCCCTTGCTTGAATGCAGGATCGGCATTCCCTTTGCTCTTAGGATGAAATCGAAAACCCCAGTGCATCCTTCCTGGGGGACCTCCTGCTCTCCTCCCTCCCTGGGCTCTTGCCACACTCTCAATTCCTTGAAAGCCCGCCCCTGGGCCTTTCCATAAGCACTGACCCCCCCCCCCCCCATACGGTGATCTCTATCTTGTCTTTGAGCCTCCTGACTATTCGCACTGGAGACACTATGTCCTGTGATCTCACAGCCTTCTGCTGTGTGTGTGCAGAATGTGCTGTGGAAATCCCGGATCTCTCCCTTCCTTCACTGTGACCCCACTCTCCCACCTAGTGAGTGGGGGGCACCCAGAACTCAAAGCCAGCAAGTGCGCACAATCCCACGTTGGCCCCGAAGCCAAGCTGGCTATACCCCAGCCTTCCCCAGGTTCCCCAGCCCCCCGCCCCAGGTAGCAAAATGTCCTCAGAGCTGCTACCATAAAAAACATTTTGCAGAGGTGGAACCACTCTGTACCCCCCAGATGCGTCCTCACGGGGGGTCTTGCGTCTGATCACCTCCCAGAAGGGCCAGATCAACTAGGTCCTTTGGCTCCTGCTGCACAGAGAGGTCCCGGTGTCACATGGCTTATTGGTAAGGGGGTGATAGGCTAGCAGTGGTTTTGAAACTTTTTAAAAGATCAGCAGAGGGGCGCCTGGGTGGCTCAGTTGGTTAAGCGACTGCTTTCGGCTCAGGTCATGATCCTGGAGTCCCAGGATCGAGTCCCGCATCGGGCTCCCTGCTTGGCAGGGAGTCTGCTTCTCCCTCCGACCCTCCCCCCTCTCATGTGCTCTCTCTCTCTCATTCTCTAATAAATAAATATTAAAAAAAAAAAAAAAAAAGATCAGCAGAACTTTTCCTGACATAAAACTCAAGTGGAGCCCAGCAGAGAAGTGGGGGTGGTGCCAGGCACCCCCCCCACTCCCTTCATCCTTCCCCAGATTCCCCCTGGAGCCCGGGGTGAAAACCATCTCTTCACAAATATTACTAGAACTCCAACCTGATCATCTGCCCATCCCACCACGTAAGCTGTCTGGTAGCCAGGGTCAGGTGTGCAAAGCAAAAGTCAGCTCTGGATTTTTCAAAAACAAGTGAACAAAAAACCAGCACAAAGTCCCACAACTACATAATTTTCTGTCCTTTCTAGTATGCAACCAGGCATCACATATAGAAAGCTTTAGAATCTTGATAAACCTTTGATAGAATGATTTGACTCTCAAGAATTATCCAAGGAAAGTCTAACATACAGAAGAAATAGGAGCCTACAGAGAGGTGAATGGCGGCCCCAGTTATAAATGCAGGGAGAACGGGAGAGTCTTCTAGGCGCTCAACAGTGAGGGAAGATCGGGCACCTGGGTGACTCAGTTGGTTGAGCAACTGCCTTCGGCTCAGGTCATGTTCCTGGAGTCCCGGGATCGAGTCCTGCGTCGGGCTCCCTGCTCAGCAGGGAGTCTGCTTCTCCCTCTGACCCTCCCCCCTCATGTGCTCTCTCTCTCTCAAATAAATAAATAAAATCTTTAAAAAAAAAAAAAAAAAAACCGTGAGGGAAGATCAACCACAGCAGTGCCACACGGAGCGGCCTCTAGGGGGAGGAGAAAGCCCACTTAATGGCATGGAAATAGTTTTATGATGGTATCAGGAGAGAAACAAAGTGACAAATGTTAGGTACAGAAAGACCTTGTTTTTGTAAAAAAGATACATATGTAGATACAGATGTAGAGAAAAAAAGGGTAGGCCAGTACTTTAGTTGTGGGACTGTGGGGGATTTTCTTTCTTGCTCACTGGTATTTCCAGGTTTTCTACAATGAACGTGTTTCCCATTTATAAGAAAGCAACAGAAGACATTAGTAGAAGATGAACACATCCAGGGAAGGAGGAGAACGCCTCACAGAACCGACACATTGGGACGGACTCTCCCACCGCCAGTCTGGTTCCCTCCTCATGGCACAGGGCCCAGGGAGCCCGGGGCAAGGGGACACGCAGGTGACCTGTGGGAGCCGCGGGCTTGTCCTGCGCACACACCTTGCAGGCTGGTCATGGCCTCAGGGGGCACGGCAAGCACCCTCAAAGTCAGTGAGCTCTGCGGTCTGTTTGAGGTTCCACCTGTGAGCAGCTTGGCCCTGCCATCGCAGAGGACCAGCTTCGGCGCCACGGGTGACTGGCCCAGCCCAGGACCCTACTGAATGGCCCCCGAGAACCACCCACCCACCACCCGCCTCCCCTTGCTCACATTTGCTGGGCTGCCCCTCTGCATCGCGCTGTGCTTCAGCCTCCCTCACGCCCGCGCCTTCAGAGTTCGAGTGAGGCCACAGAAATGCAGACCCCACACAGTCACCAGGCAGCCCGAGCACAGAGCCCGTCCAGGGCACACTGACCAGGGCCACCCCTGCGCTTCTGGCTCAGCGTGGGTCCATTGGGGCACCTTCGAGCGCTTTCTCGGGACCCACCCTGCCACTTGCCCTCGCTGGGCCTGAAGCCTGGCCTCCTCACCCAGGCTGGGCTGTGTCTGTCTGCACACCTCGGGGGGGTGGGGGGTCAGCGCTGAGCCTAGCTGGCAGGAGGGTCAGCAGAGGGGAGGGGGCTCAGGAGAAAACAAGGTCTGTCGCCCCTGCAGCTCTGGGGTCAGGTTGGGGATTGCTGGTTGGGACAGGCTTTCTGCCTGAGCCCTCACTCACATGTCCCCCGGGACACCCTCCTTGACTCTGTGCTCAGCAAACTCCTGTCTGCCCTGCCCGCCCAGCGCCCCCCCGCCCCGCCCCCAGGCAGCGGGTCACCTAGTTTCAAATCCCTTCACCTCCTGGGGACACGGTCACGCTGTACTTGCCACGGCGACAGCCACCGTAAGCCCCAGGACCCCACTCTCAACTCCATATGGAAGAAAGGAGAGAAATCACTTCTCGCTGGCTGCGGGGCTGAGATCCAGGACCCCTCCTCACTCCCGCAGGCCTGAGCCGCCCGAGGGAACAGAATGAAGACCAGACGGACTGAGGTATATAGTTCAAAGGTTGGTATCTTTTTTGGTTTCCTTTTTTGCTTTTGTAAAGAAAAATAAGGTTGTGTTTTTTGTTTGAAAGAAAACATAAGTAAGCCCCCCTCCCCACTCTGCTTCTCCCCTGCCCCTGCGGGGTGCCAGGAGGGGCGAGAGGAGAGGGGCGGGCACTCTGTGTTGGGGCTTCCTCAGAGCCACAGAGGAAGGGTATTCGGGAATGGAGTTCGGCTTTGTTAGGCAAAAAAAACAAAATTAAAAAACTTGACACGCATGCCCACTCTACAAACGGAGGCCCAAAGCACCACCTCCATGTTGGCATCATTTCTGGCAGTGGGACTCGGGGTCCTGGTGTGGCCCCTGGCCCCCCAGGCCCCAGCTGCTGGGGTGGGAGACGGGGCAGGAAAGAGCTCTCAGGACAGGAGTGGGGGGAAGAGGAGAGAGGGGGAAGTCAGAGCAACTCCTTCCCCACATGGTAAAAAAAATTACTAAAAAAGCACCCAAGGCTTAAAAAAACGAAAGCTCCCTGGCAGGGAGAACTGAGGGCATCCTGCTGACCCGCAGAATGCCTTACCTGGCAACAATGTATAGAAAAATAAAACTAAACTTTATCCCTGAATGGTAAAGACCCTTCCTCCTGCCCTCATGACCACCACCCTCCCACCAGGCAGTCTCAGAATTCACCAAGACCGCCAGGCCCCCCCCGAGGGGCGCGGGCGCCTGCAGGACACACACGCGGCCCAGGCCCGCGGCCCGGGCCCAGGGCAGCGGGGGCGGGGGGACTCTGAGGGCCACAGGCACACGCACACTCGTTCCTCACAGCACGGCGGGAGGGGGGTGTGTCCCTGCGCCAGACCAAGGGCCCCCCTTCCTCTGCTCGGGGCAGGACAGGACCCCGGCCCAAAGGCAGGGGTGGGGGGCAAATCTGTGGTAGCAGTCGGCACGGCAGCGGCAGGGCCTGAGGGGAGGGGGGTGGGAGAGAAAGCCAGCCGAGGTGGCCTGGAGACCGAGGTCACACTGAGCCCACAGTGACAGTACAACGAAAGGGAGGAAGGAAGCAGGGCCTCGGGGGCCAAAAGGGGCCAGGTTGGTGGCAGGGCAGGGGCGGGGTCCGGTCTCCTCAGAGACCCGCAGGCTGTCCCGGGCCCGCCCTGCAGGGCGATGCAGGCTGAGGGCTCAAGCGAGGCCCCTGTGGGCAGTGCATGGAGGAGGGGCCCAGAAGCGCAGGCCTGGAAGGGAGGTGGGTGGGCCCTGGGTAGTGTTCTCAGTGTCACGGGGCTGCTGCCTGGGAAGGTCACTAGAGGTAATAAAATGGGGGCACGAGAGGGCAGCAGGGAGGCTGGCGGGGGTGGGCGGAGGTGCTTACACTAGAACTCTGAGGGGCCCTGGGTTGGGGACCCCGGGCACCCACCTGCCCAGCCAGAAGAGCCAGAGGGCAGGCCGGGCCTAGAGCTGATAGGACAGGGCAAGACAGGGGCAGGGGATGCCCGTCCTGAGGGGGCCTGCCCCAGGGCTCTGTTCTTCCCCGGGCAGGACTGAGGAGGAGTGACACAGGGACCGTCGCTCCCTCCTCCCCACGGAACCTGAGGCGGCTGCGTGGGATCAGAGCACAGTACGGAGACGTGGTCCCGGCCCGCAGCGCAGCGTCGGGAGGCAGCCAGCTCCTGCTGCACTTACAGTAGTAGTAGTCCTGCCCGGCGGGCTGGGCAGTGGGGGAGGGGGCCCCAGGGCCCTGCCGCCCCTCGGGGATCCCTGGCTTCGGGATCAGGGTCAGCACCAAACACAAGTGACGTCAGCTGAGGAGACAGGCAGGGAGGAGAGTGACCTCACGGACCACGCTCAGCCCTGCGGCCTGTTAGGTGAGGAGGAGGGATCCCTAGGACAGGACTGGCCCAGCGAGGTCAAGGGCCCTGGAGAGGACAGCGGAGGCAGCCCCTTGGGGGGGCTCCGAGGCCGGCAGTGGTGGGAGCAGCATGCACCTGGGCGCCTCCGAGCCCCTCTGGGCGCTGGGAGGCCGCGGACCGCAGGTCAGCGCAGGACCTGGTACAGGTAGGCCGAGGTGAAGAGCACGTTGGCGGCCAAGCTCACAGCCAGGAGGCCCCGGACCAGGGAGGGCCTGAAACGACCTTGAGAGAGACGGTGAAGAGACACAGTCAGAGGGCAAAGGTCAGAAGAAGGACCTGTGGGTGGCGGGGTCGCCGTGCAGCGGACCACCGGCCCAGCCCTCCCAGAGATGCTGCTGTGGGGCCCAGAGGCCAGGAAGACCCCTGCGCCTGGGGTCACTTGGTCAAGTCCTGCCTCCCCAGAGGCGCCTCATTTCCCGAGCCCGCGCTACCAGGCAGGTCCTGGGTGAGGGTGCCCTGTACGGTACCCTGGTGAGGGGTCAGCAGTGCGACTCCCACTGCATAGACAGGGAACGGGGCTCTAGGGGAGTGAGGAGTACCCCGCCCAGGCTCCAGGCTGGGGTTCCCGGCCCCAAGTCTGTGCTCTGGGTCTTGCGGCTGCTGGGTCACACCCAAGACCAGCCGGATGTGGGGGAAGCACCTATTTCCGGTCAGCTCAAAACCATCTGCGCACCCCTGTCCATCCATCTTCTCCACACACGTGTCCCCCGGGCTCCCCCGGGGTCCCCCGGGCTGACTGCTGCATGCCCACTGGGTGCCCGGCACTTCAAAGAACCAGGATCTGATGTCACTCCCTGCCCTGCGGCGCTCCCGGCTGGCGTCCCCTGGGGACCCTGCGTGGGGGCCGAAGCGCTCTGCGTCTGTGCTAGCGACAGGAGCCCACACGGGGCTCTGGGGTACTCGGGGTGCGGCAGCGGATCCAGACCCTGATCCAAGGATGGGCTGCTGTCTGCCGAGGGGTGGCTGGACCCAGAAGGTGCTGGGCGGGTTAACTCACTGTCTTTCGCCACTCAAGAGCCTGGAGGGCTTTTTCTCTCAGGGTCCCAGACAGACCAGGAGGGGAGGGGGGCTGCAGCCCCGCGGCCCCCACGGCCCCCTGCCTTCCACCCCCAGGTCGGAGCACAGACCTCGCCAGGCGGCGGTCTCCTCCGCGCACCCTTGGGTGGTGGTGTCCACCACGCAGGTGGACGACTGAGATGAGTCGTCCTCTTTCTTGATGGACCGGCTACTGCAGGCACTGCCTCTTTCTGGCGCCGACCTCATGTCTGCGGAGAGAAGGGGTGTCTCGGTGGATGTGCACAGCTCACCCCCAGGGACGGACGTGGGGCAGCGCTACCTCCAGTCCCTGGACCGTCCGTGGATGTGGCCAGCCAGCCCTGCCCGTCCCAGCCCACTTGCCCTACCCTGGGCAACGGGAGGCCAGGGCCTCGTTGATATCCCGGCTGTGTGGCTGCCACGAAGGGGAGCTGGTTTTAGATCAGGAGCAGCAAACTCCATGGCCAACGGGCGCTGACAGATGGTGGCCACAAGCGAGGCTTCGGGAGGTGGGGCGGGGGTGGCCGAGGCTGGGATGTGGGATCTCAACCTGTCCTTCCACCTGTCTGGCCAGTATCCAGAGCCACTGTGGCCAGATCTTCTGACATTGTAAGAGGCACAGCAAATCCACACATTGAGGCCTAACTTTAAAAATTTTAAAAATGCCTGGCAGAGGGCGCCTGGGTGGCTCAGTTGGTTAAGCAACTGCCTTCGGCTCAGGTCATGATCCTGGAATCCTGAGATCGAGTCCCGCATCGGGCTCCCTGCTCAGCAGGGAGTCTGCTTCTCCCTCTGACCCTCCCCCCTGTCATGCTCTCTCTATCTCATTCTCTCTCTCAAATAAATAAATAAAATCTTTAAAAAAAAAAGGGCACCTGGGTGGCTCAGATGGTTAAGCGTCTGCCTTCGGCTCAGGTCATGATCTCAGGGTCCTGGGATCGAGTCCCGCATTGGGCTCCCTGCTCCTTGGGAGCCTGCTCCTCCCTCTGCCTCTCTCTCTCTCTCTCTCATGAATAAATAAATAAAATCTTTAAAAAAAAAAAATAAATAAAAAATAAAAAAAATAAAAAATAAATTAAAAAAAAATGCTTGGCAGAACACCACCATTTGAGCAAAACAAAAATATCTGCAACCAGACAGGTGCAGGCTAGCAGGGCATGATGCGTTTTTGATCCATCCCAAGGAACAAAGGACCCTCAAGGTCAATTGCAAAAGAAGAAAATAAAATCAGCCAACGGAGGGCAATGTCTCGGACGGTTCAAGGTCACCAGAAGGCAGGCGGGGAGTGTCTGGAGCTTGGGAGAGTGGCTGCACGTGCCTGGGGAAGAGGAAGGACAGGCCCAGTGCCGGCTCATCCCACACCTGTGGGCCAGAGGCACCGTCACAGCTCAGCTGGGCTCTCCCGACTCCCGGGGGGGGGGGGGGCGGGGGGGCGGCGGTCAGCGGGTCGTACCCACTGTGAGCTTCGTGTCCTGTGCCGGCGATCTCTGGGGGACCTGGGGCGGCTCGATGGGGAAGAGGCTGCCGTTGTGGGGCGAGTGTTCGTCTGAGCTGCTGGGTGTGTTGGGGACCTCCCCGGGGGGTGACGGGAACAGCAGCAGCTTCTGCCCATTCAGGTTGAGCCGGGCTGGGCTGATGAGGGGCCTGCGGTGACGCAGAGAGCCAGAGCTGGAGGCCACGGAGCCGGCCACGGAAGGCGCCGGGGAAGGGAGTGGGGAAGAGGGGCAGTATCCCGACAGCAGAGAGAAGTAATCTGGAGGGCAGGAGGACAGAGACCACGATTTCGGGTAAGACTGGAGACAAGGCGTGAGCGTCCCCCACTGTCGCAGCTACCCTTGCTATGGCTGCCTTGTTCCTGGGGCTTCTCCCCTAGTAACCCGGGAAGAAAGGCAACGCTGCACCCAGACGGGGGACAGAGGGAAGCCTGCTGGGGGCTGAGGGAGGGCAGAGGATCACAGACCCTTCACCACATCCCTGCTGCCCCAAGGGCACTCCTGACTTAACTAGGGTCAGCGAACCCCAGCCCCGCTCCTGGCGGGATCCTGAGTGTGCGTCTCCGTCAGTCATCACTGGTAAGGGTGACGGCATCGTATCAAATCCTGGAAACTACCGCGCCCATTTCACAGAAGAGGAAAGCGAGGCACAGTGCTGTGAGTCACTTGCCCAGGGCTGCACAGCTGGGAGGCACAGGGCTGAGACTTGAACACAGGCCCCTGTCAGACCCTAAAGCTCACGCTTAACCACACTGCTGTCCCACCCACAGGATGCTCTGGAAACCCCGGCCCCGCACTGCCCCCGTTGAAAGCAGCTTCCCCGTCCTCCTTACCTGAAACAGGAACCTCTCCAGATCGAGACACCTGAGACGGGGGGCGACTCCCACTGAACAGATACCCCGAGTCTGGAGAGGAAAGAGAAGGGCGACACGTGTCGGGCCGTGGTGACAACAGCCACCCACCCCCTCCATTCTCCAGTCCCCGCTCTGCTGACACTTAACCTTTGTCACTCACGTCAGGCCTTCACAAAAACACGCGCCCTCAACTGACTGCGTCTCTCACTGAGGAGAGATCCGCTTGGCCCGCTCTCAGCTTGCAGAGAAAGAAACCCACAGCGGCCCCTTGCCCCCATAGCTACTCCTTCAGCCTTCTGGGGTCCTCCCCTCCACTAACCTGCGCCTGCCGGCCGTGCTGCACCTCAGGGGGCACCGAACATGCTGCTTTTCCTCAGCCAAGTGCACCCCGAGGGCAGAGACACCCCCCCACGTATCCTATGTTCCCCCAGCGCTCGGCTGAGAGCTGAGTGTGCAAAGATCCAGCGGCCACCACGTGCCGTCCCGAGCGGTTGCTGCTTCACCACCCTCGGGTCTCCGAGGGTCCCTCGGTCACAGCGGCTGCCTGCCCCTTCCCCCACAAGGCCCAGGGACACAGACCCAGGTCAACCCGTGTCTGGGTAAGGGTGCCCGTGTTGCCCAAGCACAGAGTCCTTTCCAGAACCTGCTCTATAGATGCCAGGAGAGCAGTCTCTTTGCCAGGCATGAGCTATAGGGGCGCAGGGATGAGGCTGGAAGCAGGGAGGAGCAGAGGCGAGTAGGGCGAGAGAGAGACAGACACACACAGGAAACAGGAACCTGGCCTGGCGCCTGAGCCCCGGACCACCAGCGCGTCCTGGTTACCTGAGCCAAGGAGCTGCAGAAACTCATCCTCAACGCCCCCAGCAGGGAGACCCTGGGATCCCACCCACCACCAGACATTCCGAGACCAGCCCGCGTCTCACAACTGCCCTGCTGTCCTTGCCTCCAGCCCCACAGGGCAACAGGGAGGCTGCGGGTCCTCCACGATGGGTGGGAGACCCTGCCTCCACGGCCTGCGCCGGCTCTGGAATGCCACCCACCGCTCCAAGGCGCTGGAAGTGGGAGCCCCCCAGCTCGGCCCCCCGGGGTCAGAGTGCACTGGGAGTCGTCCCGGGAGTGTGGGGCCCAGGGCAGGGCTGCTCCTGGCGCCCTCAGCAGTCGGCCTGTTCCCTCCCCACGTTCTCTTCAAGGGCCACAGGGAACAGACAGGGACATCTCTGTTCAGGGGGAAAAGGAAAACCATCCGAGTATGAACTCGGGATATACGCAAAATGGCCTTTAACGGCCCTGTTCTAGAAGCTTCCCTGACATCATGCCCATCTCAGCCCTGAGGCACAGCCTCTGGCTCTAGACCCTCCCAGGGTCATGGGCTGGGGGCCTGCTTGGCTGCGCCCCGCTGATGATTCCTGGCACTTCGGTTGCCCACATCACGTGCTCACAACACCACCATGGTGCGTGTACCATCACCAGCCCGGCTGGTGATGGGGGAGTCTGAGCACCCCCATTTTGCCTCCATCAGACCGGCAGCTTTTCTCCAGAGGGAGGGGCAGTGGTAGGGAGCCTGGGGCTCACTTTTTCAACCCTGAGCTTGACTACAGGGGACAGGAGGGGTAGGAAGGTGCCCCTCGGAGGTCAAGTCCCTGCCTTTCACCCCGTAGACATTAACCGGAGTCATTTCTTTTTCTTTCTTTTTTTTTAAAGTAGGCTCTATGCCCAACATGGGGCTTGAACTCATGATCCTGAGATCAAGAGTCATATGCTCTACTGACTGGGGAGCCAGCTAGGCACCCCAGTCATTTCATATTTTAAAGAGCAAAACAAGAGGCAGACTTCTCCCACAGTCTGCATCTCTGTCCCTAAGACGGCCATCAGAAGGCTCTGGCAGGACCCGATGTGAGCTGGTCCTACAGAGGCCTGGGAGCTTGGGCCCCTGTCCCCACCTTGGCCCCAACCAGCCCCACCCGCATCCCCACCCAGAAGGCCTGATGGGACAGCTCCAGAGAACACTCTAGGGGAAGGGCCCAGCTGCTGGGCCTGTCAGGTTCCCACATTCAGGGAATTCCAGGGTCACCCCCACCCCCAGGGCCGCAGGCAGGGGATCAAGAACTCTGCTGAATGACCATTCCCGGAGGAGGGCAGCTCGCCCAGCAAGCCAGCTCACTTCTGGTTACACAGAACTATCTGGAGTCCGGGCGTCTATATTCAGGGCAATCACACCTTCGGCCCTACCCCAAAGGCCTTGAACCCTACCCACCGTTATGACCTGTCCCTCCTGCGGTGTGACCCACCCTCTACCCAGGAGGATGCCTGAGCTCAGGAGCCAGATGACGGCACAAAGCCCAGCCTGCAGTGGGACCCTGGGCAAGTCACGGGGGGAGACTGAAGCTCAGAGGGGCATCTGACTGGAACTGGAGCCTCCCAGCCCGGTGGAGCTGCTGAGGGGCTTAAACGAGACACCGACTGCAGATTATCAAGCCTGGATTAACCGAGATGGCATCCACATTCTTGGAGGCTGGGATCCTGCCTCGTGGCTTCCCACTCCCAAACCTGCCACCCACGCAGCCAGCCCCCAGGACGCAGCCCGAGGAGGAGGCAAGCCCAGTCTGCCCAGGTGGCTTCCCAGAGCGCCGAGGGCCATCACAGAGAGCTTGCCAGGCTCCGAGGAGGAAACACTGGATTTAATTTATAACTGACTTCCCGGGAAAATCCTGCTGGAAAAGGTGAAAGATGAGACTCTCGGGACAAGGACCAGGTCTCGGTCACGCCAGGGCCTGCGTGCGGCAAGCACTCAGTAAATGCGGGCAAATTTTCCAGCCCCCAAGATCTCAAAACAACGGCAGTAGTAACGACAGTAAGAGTGGTGGTGAAAGACAACGCCCAGCGTGTGTGGATGCCTACCGAGTGCCTGCCGCCCTTCCAGAAGGTGCTTTGAATGTGTCACCTCAGTTTGCCACGAACACCCACAGGCGGGTTCTGCTACTAACCTCGTTTTCTTGGAGGGAAACCGAGGCTCAGAGGAGCGAGGCAGCTGCCGAATGGGCGCCCCGGGATCCAACCCCAGTTCCGCCTGTCTCTAGGGCAGGAGCTCTCAGCACCCTCCCGCCCCGCGCCCAGCCCCGCTCTGCCCGCCCGCGTCCAGCACCTCTTACCTGCCCGCGTCAGGGAGGGTATGGTTCCCAGCGAGAGGGCCCGGCTGAGGCGGCCTGGCAGCGACGAGGGTGAGGCCCGTCGAGGAGACCGGAACAGCTGCTGGTTGGCGAGCGGCAGGAAGCCGGGTGCGGTGGGGATGAACAGAGACGGCGAAGGGCCCGTGCTCGGGCAGGGCACAGCCAGGCTGGGGCTCGCGGGGAAAAGGCCGGCCGCGTCGCGCGGGAAATACCTGCAAGAGCCCGTCGGGCACGGGAGAGAAGAGGAGGGTCAGCCCTGGGTGGCTCTGGAGGCTGCGGCCTCCGCCCAGGTCCCGTCCCCTGTCCCCTCTCCCCTGGTGCCAGGTGGGGCCGGAGCCGGGGTCCCAGGGAGGCGTGCGTTAGTTGAAGCAGAAAAGCAGTCCGACCACATTCACGCCATTAGGAGCGGGTGGCTGGGAGGAGCCAGCGTGACCCACCCCTCCCTGCATGCCCCCTCCGATCCCACCCACCCCTCGGCTTCACAGCAAACTAGTTCCACTACTAGTCTCGGTATTAAAGTGACACTGTCGCCCTTGCCAACCTCACGCCAACCCTTCACCTTGAAGCAAAAATGCCCAACCCCGTGCCAGGCACTCAATGAAGGCCAAAGGCCTTGGGCTCCCGCTGGCCACTTTGTGCTCCGTGCCCAGAGCCTCCTGACAGGGCGGCTGAGCTCAGGGAGCCCCCTGCTCCCCAGGGCCCGGCTCCGGGAATCCCGTTACTGCTCTCTGGTCTTGGACACTCGTCTAAAGCCCCTTGCAGAGCGGAGGGGGAGGCGGCCAGGCTGGGGATCCCCGGGAAGAGGCTCTTGGGGGACACAAGCCTAACTCAAGCTTAGAAAAGACCGGTAAACGATCGCAAGGCTGCCCAAAAGACAGAAGGTGACAGTGTCTCTTTAACTCGAGAATGGGACAAATCACACAACAGGACCTGGTGGCCCCAAGCCAGATTGTCAACCATGCTTCTGATTAAGGCAACCGATTACAGAGAGAGGAGAGGGACAGAGGCAGTTAATACATTAGTCCGCCGTCTGGACGGAGCTGGGGGAGGTCCAGCCTTACCTCAGTCCCAAGGGACAATTGGGGCCATGGACAAGGTGCTGATGGACGGGCAGGCTGGCTCAGGCCCTGCAGCAGAGCCGGGGGCCTGCCAAGGGACCCACCCCGCGCCCCTCGTGACCAAACGCTCAGGGCACCGCTAGCCAAACTACAGTCCACTCATTTCCCTGTTTTTCACTCCCAGCCCTTGCTTTAAATAAATTCTAGGAGGCAAGTGTGGGGTCCACCGTTGCCCTCCTAGAGAATCATGGGACCTTTTTAATGCTTTCCAAAGCGCCACGAGGCTACGTGGATGTCAGAACCAAAGGCAGGGCCCCCGGGTTTGGGGGACATGGGGAAATTGTGGCAGGAACTCATCAAGCCAATCACCAGAAGGATCTGGCCAACTCCAGGCTGGACGCGCCCGCACTCCGCATGCTGACTTGTTCTGCCCAAGCCTGTCGGACACCCACTTCCTTGACCCCCAGACACCTGAGGAAGGTTTTGTCTCTACACAGATCGATTTGGTGTTGTCACTGTAGAACTGTAATACCATGTGGCAGGATGGCGCCACTATTGTGGGGGAAGAACCAGAGGTCGGCGGGGGGGGCACCTCACTCGCTGTGGGGGCAGGGAAGGCGCACTGGGGCCCTTGGTCAGCTTGCTCTCCTTGCCCTGAAGTTCTGTCCCCTGCCGGGCCCTGCACCTCCCCAGGACCGGGTGGGGGCAGGGCACGTCTAGGCCTGTCCAGCAGATGGCAGCAGGACTCTGCACAGGGCCTCCTGTGCCCACCCCCTACCGCAGAGCCCACAGCGTGTCCCCCCCAACCCGGGCAAGTGAGGGAAGAGGCTCCACGTCGGGCTGCAGGGTTCAGAGGTGGTCAGCTGTGCCCAGGAGAAGCTTCCAGGGTCTTTCCAGCTCTTCCCTGCTTTTCCCAGATCCTGCTCACACCTGGGGCCACCCCAGGGCTTCAAACCCGTCTCTCAGCCAATGTGGCACAGGAGCTGTTCCCAATCTCTAATTCCACTAAGAACGTTGGCCCTAAGGAGCCAGTTCTTTGGCCCGAGCCCTCCTGCTGTGACACGCAGTGACATCAGTCACCTGGCAGATCCTCTGTAAAGTGCCAAGGGAGCCGCCATCACGGCTCCGCAGCAGCCGGTCCCTGGGAACCTCTGCCAGGCTCCAGAGGGCTCAGAAGTATCGACGCTTCCTTTGGCTAGCAACCCCCCACAGCCCACCCTGCACCCTCAAACCCCATCTCACAGAGGCCCTCAGCCCCGAATCCAAGTCTGTACGCTTACTGGAATAAATGGGTTCTGGGACGGGGCAGGCGGCTGTCCCATGTCCCACCTGACACTAAGGGGGCCGGCCGGTCTTTTTCGATCCAATCCCAGTCCGAGATGGGAACGGAAGGAGAGAAGGACTACATTTTAGGCAGCAGTTTATTGAGATGGGGGAAAAGAGGACCCGGCAGGGCACGGAGGACAGCCGGGCCCCGAGCCGTTTGGGCCCCGCGTCGCCAGCAACCAAACCTGACTCCTGTGGGCATGCCTGTGCCCCGAAGTCCCCTGCCCCGGCCCCGAAGCCTCTGAAGGAACGTGAAAGAACAAACAAAAAAAGACATGGTACCTGATGCCCACCGGTAAAAGCAGAGCCCCGGAGGCATTTATTGAAAATACAGCATAAAAACACGACATCTACGGCCAGGAGTTACGGTTACAGCAAAGAGAGTCACCGGCCAATCCTCCGCAGGTGCGCTACACAACCAGAGAAGGCGAGCCACTTGGCAAGCGTCACAGACAGAAGGGACACGGGCTCCTCCCCGAGCGGGTGCGTCGAGGCAGTTGCTCAGCCCACGGTGGGGACCCCAGACTCGGAGAGAGAAGATAGCCAAGCGGGCCTCCCTCACGTCTTGGAGACAGTCACCCTGACCCCAGGTGGTCTGACAGTTGTCCCCAGTGGAGGGGACAGAGGTCCGGGGTAGGGCGACACATTTCCAGTTAATAAGCCACGATCCCAGTGCTGCCTGCACTTCCTCAGCTGTTGCCAGTAAACATCAGAAGGTGCTGGAAATATGTTCCAAATAATGAAAGGACAGACACGTAATTTTAAAAAGTCACACAGAACTCTAAAAACCCCAGGAAGCCGCACTCTGATGAGGCTCATCTCATGAGGGTGACTTCCCCCCACCCCCCCGCTAGAGGGCAGGAAAAACATCTGCTCAGCAGGGGCTCCTGGCCAGCGAGAGCGCTGGTTATGGTTATTATAAATAATTTAACTTAAATACACACATACACACAGATGTCCTGCTTCTACTCAACGCCAAGAAAAGCAGTAATTAGCATCACACTGTCCGTTGCCTTGAAAACGGGAGATTCCGTGTACGAGGGCACGCACAGCCAGACCACTGGCTCTCGGCCTGGTACCTGTGGCCTCCTCTCCCCTCTCGGGCAGACTGATGGGGGTGAAGGGACAGGCAGCGGGCGGGCCGTCCCCCCCCCCCCCCCCCCGCCCAACAGCCAAGCCAGGCCAGCAGGTCTCGCTCCCAGTTTAGCCAGGCTCCCCACTCCTCCTTCCTGGTCAGTCACCTTGCACCTCACCCTCTGCAGAGAACAAGCTGAGCCCAGCCAGGCAGGGGCTTGATCGGGGGCCACAAGCCTAAGAGGGCAGCTCCAGACCCACCCGGGTGCCAGGGCGGGGCAAGGGCTGCCGCACACGCATGTGAGTGGGGCGGGGTGGCTTCTTAGGACCCCGAGAGCATAGAAAGACTGTGACGGTGGGGCCCAGGCTCCATGAAGGGCCTGGCCAGGGTGCTCTCTGACCTGCCCCTCAGGCTCACATGAGCCTCATGTGCACGTCATCTGCTTTGCCTTCCCCCGGCTCCGATGTGTAAAGGGGAGTGGTTGGCATCCTTGGGGTCCCAACTGGAGGGGGACTGATGCTCAGAATGATGAGTGGCAGGGCACACCGGCCCTGGCAGGAGTCATCAGAGTGCAGAATGCAGGACGGAGACAGCCTTGGGCCGCCACCTGCAGGGACAGCACTCAGAGACGGCACCCTAGGCTAACTACTTCCTCTGCATGTGGGCGGCACTTCTGCGTCCACAGTGTGTCCACGCCAAGGGCAGCACTCAGGGGCCCTGGAGAAAGGTCCACCTCTCATTTCACAGATGGTAAACTGAGGCTGGAAAGAGCCCGGGGCCTGGCTGGAACCAGCTAGTGAGTAGCAGGCGTGCTTCCCCGGGAGCGGTGGCTCTGTCCCCACCCTTCCGCCTGCCCCACAGGGAACTGGAACGCGGGAGCCTCAGTGGCCTCCATGAGCAGTGCCAGGAGCCAGGAGGGTAGTGACAGGCCAGAGAGAGAGAAGGTGACAAATGACCCAGTGTCACGTGTGTCACTCTTGGGCCCCTGCCCCGTGCTATCCGCAGGGAGCAAGAACTTTCCCCAGGCACCATACGGGGGCTGAGTGGAGGCAACGGGACATCCCAGGCACGCGGTAGGGGAGCGGGCCAAGAGCACTCAGGCCCCCACTGCCAGGTGGGGCAGCCTTTGCTAGGGAGGCTTGCACCCCAGCCCCTGCAGGGGTGGGCGGAGGGCTCGGCCACCAGGACTGGGCCCTGGCTTTTAAGGGCAGAGCAGCTGCGTCTCAGAAGAGGGAGCAGCACGTGTGTGCCCTGGTTCTGTCTAGCCCATAGCAGTGCCCCAAAAATAGGTGAATAAAGAAAAGACTGCTCGGATCCCCACCTGGGTGAACTCCCCCAGCAGCCTGGCTGCTAAGAAGACACTTGCTGACCATACGAGCAGCAGGATTCTCTACTGTCTCCCTCAAGAGCCTCGCCCCACACACTCATGGTCAGGCCCAGTAGGGACCCAAGAACTGTGTTCTCCATTCCTGGGGAAGGAGGCTGAGGGACCATGGGTCTCAGGAAGGTCCTGGAGCTGCAAGCGAACTGTAAACCCGGGGGCGCAGCCCTGTGTCCTCTTGCTTCCCCGGCTCCGTGAGGGTTGGCCGGACCACCATCAGGCCCAGAAGGATGGACCAGGGAAGTGATGTGGGGACCGGGGGGGGGGGGGGGTGTGGGGCTCTGCTCCGGCCCCTGCTCAGCAGCACCTGCCCATGCCGAGCAGCCCAAGGAGGCCATGCGGCAAGGGCCCAGCCCACAGCCACTGTCACCAGCCCGAGCGAGGGGCTCAGGGATGGAGCAAAGTGAGAGGAGCGGCAGGGACCCGACGCTCACCCACGGTGTAAGAACCAGGGAAAGGACGCGGCCAGGGTGGGGGCTCCTGGAGCTGCCAGCTGGAGGCCCTGGGTCAGAGGCAGGCCGTGCGGGTGCTGCCCGTGATCCAGTCTCGGGGCACTGACGGGGTCTTTGCCAGAAAGACGGCGGCAGTGGTGGGCAGCTAGAGGGCACTTGGGAGGGTGGCTTGGTGGTGCTGGAAGGACAGGGGGCACTAGGCTGGGCAAGGGCAGGAGTGAGGCAGGTAAGACGCAAGTCAGAGGGGCCCTGCTCCGGGCCTGTCCGTCCGTCTGTCCTCCCCCCGCAGTCACTGCTGCTTCTCTGACCTTCGGGGCCGGAACCTCCGCGGGCCTGTCGCCTTCCTTGTGGCCACTGCTGCCGTGAAGCCCACCAGGCAGCACAGGGACGTGGTGCTGAACTTGAGCGTGTCCAGCCAGCCGGGTGAGGCGGCCTGCAGGTACTGCTCGGTCAGGTGCAGCCCCAGCAGCAAGGCCCACAGGCAGGTGGAGAAGGCATCGATCCTCCGGAGCCTGCGGGAGAGAGGAGGGGCGGCGGTGAGGGCCCAGGACGGGCAGGGTAAGAACATACCCCCTCCTGCCCCTTCCAGCCTCCCACGTCCATCCCTGACCCTGCTCAGAGGTCAGAGTCCAGGGCCAAGAGGAGAGCAGGGGCCTCTGACTCCCACTTCCCACACCCACACGCTGCGTGACTCTGAATGGGCCTCCAGATCCCAGCCTGTAAAGCCGGCCTGAGGACCGTCCCTCGGAGCCACTGGCATGACGCAGACACCATTCAGTACAGTCTCCAAGTGCACAGGGGGGCCAGGGACCCACCTGGTCCCCCAACAACCGGAGAGGTAGGTGGTCATTACCACCCCGACTCTGCAGGCGAGGAGCCTGAGGGGGACAAGCATGCCACGTGGCCGAAGCGCACGGCAGGGAGGGGCAGGCCAGCTCTAAGTGCCACCACTCCCTTGGGCAGGTCACACTTGTTTCCTCTGCCCCACCCCCCCACCCTGGCTCCCAGCTGCCAGAGAAGAGGGACCATGTCTTGCTCCAGCCACACCACGGAGCTTTTCCTCCTACCGAGTCCCGCCCCGCCTGGCTCCACACACACCTGATGCGACCAGCCAGCAGCATGGCCAGCAGGCAGGTGAGCAGGCCCAGGGCCACGACGCCCATCTGGTGGCTCTGCCCGAAGGCCCAGGCCTCGCGCAGCTTCTCTGCCGCGTGCTCGGGCAGCAGGCCCAGCAGCTGCTGCCAGCCCTCGGCCCCCGGGGCGGTGCTGTTGTCGGGTGAGGCTGAGCCATTGCCACCAGGCAGCAGGGCTGGGGGCAGGGTGGCCTCTGGGGCAAAGGGGTTGCTGGTGCCATAGAGTGCAAGGGTCAGCAGAAAGGTACAGGCCAGGAAGGCGAGGGCACGGAGCATGATGACCTGGACCGGGGCCTTCACCGCGGATGAGAAGCTCTGAGGGACCAAGAGAGACTGGTTAGCGAGATGGCCAGCACCACCGACAGCCATTCCCAGTGCCCGCCCTGCGTGGGGGTCTGGCCAGGGCACCAGAGCACTTGCTGTAGAATCCACCTGGTTCCAGGGGCACCTGGGTGGCCCAGTCAGTTAAGTGTCTGACTTGATCTCAGCTCAGGTCTTGATCTCAGGGTTCTGAGTCCAAGCCCCCCTTGGGGGGAAAAAAAAAATCCACCTGGTTCCTGATGGTCAGAGACAGTGTCTTTACTGGGTCTTAAATTCTTACGTACTCCCAGCTGTTTCTAGGTTTACTGCTGTGTTCCACTGATCTGTCTCCTTTCTCGGCCTTCATCCACCGCAGAAGTCACTACGCTAGGTAGGCTACTGCTCTGCTATGTTCTTTAGAGAAACCCTTTTGATATCACGGTGACCTGTTTTTTCTAGTACGTTTTTCATTTTGTCAAGGTCTCATCAAAAGTTCCTATCATGCTCTTAACTACACACAGAGATAACTCAGGCCAAAATGCAATTAAAAGAACACAGCAATAAGTTGTCTGGTCTAGGAACACGGTGCTGAGGAGGAAGGCCAAAGGTCAGAGTGTCTGGCTTCCGACTATGCAGAAGTGGGCATGGGGGCCGGGGCTGTGGCCTTGTGGTCAGGGGCCTGGGTGCAGCCTGGAATATTTCTGGGGTGGGTGGGTTTTTTTTGTTTTGTTTTAAGATTTTATTTATTTGTCAGACAGAAAGCACAAGCAGGGGGAGTGGCAGGCACAGGGTGAAGCAGGCTCCCCGCCGAGCAAAGGAGCCCGATGCGGGGCTCGATCCCAGGACCCTGGGAGCATGACCTGAGCAGAAGGCAGACGCTTAACCAACCGAGCCACCCAGGCGCCCCTGGGGTGGATGGTTTTACTTCTAAATGCACCTGCTTCACGTTAGAGTTTTTAAACCAGAACATTCCATCAACCTAGTGTAGTGATAATAATTAAAAACACTTTCAGCAAGATAGTCCTGGGTTCAAATCTGGTGCGCGGCGCCCTGCAAGTTAGTTAACTCCCCAAGTTTGGTCTCCAGCTGTACCCGGGGGTCACGGGGCCGAAGGGCAGACCCACCACGAAGGGTGCCGTGGGGGACACATGCCGGTGTCGGGGCAGCAGCCACGTACAGCAGGGCCCTGACAAGCCCCCGCTCAAGAGCACAAACACAAATGCAACACGACCCTGAGCCACTCTTCCTGGGACCCCTGCTCGGGCTGAGGACACGAAGGGGCCTGGGGACAGGTGGGGATGGGGACAGGGTGGGATGGGGCCCCTGGGAAGGCTCTAGGCTCTGAAGAGCTGCCCTCCACGCACGGGGTTTCTTGCCCCACTCAAGGGTGTGAGCCCCTGAACGCAGCGGGGGGGCCCCGCTCCAACCTGCGTGTGGGTCTGGTCGGCGTCCCGGCGCCGGAACTGGTGGCTGAGCAGCAGGGCGCGCAGCTGGCGGTTCTGGTGCTTGATGTAGTACTCGACGGCCGCCTGGCAGGGCCGACACAGCTTATACATCTGCTCCAGGTGGTGGCGGTACACCTCAATCTCTTCGTCGTACCTGCCCTGCGGGGGGTGGGGGCACAACAGCGGCTCAGCGTCCTCGGGGGCGACCTCGAGCAAGGCGTCCCTGCTGGAACCTGCTTCTGGTGGTGCCTGACCAGACCGACGGCCCACTGCCTGCGGTGATGCCGGCGCCCGAGCGGCAAGCCCGGCCCACGGAAGGGGCCCACGGGCGACAGGGGCCTCTCTAGCCAGCTTCTGTGGCCGCACGGGAGGCACCAGAAGCCAGGGGCTTGGGTCATGGGCCCTGCTTCAGGCTCCACTCCTGGGCTCCAGGAAGGCAGGTGAGTCACAGGAGAAATAGCTCCAGGCTGACGCTACTTAGATGCAGACAGAACCACCCAGAGGCAGGGCCTGCCCTCCCCCGAAGACCAAGGGCCCAGAAAACACTAAAGTCAAGGGCTTTCGTGGGAGCTGGAGGGTCCTTTGGGCTTCAGAAAAGAGCCCAGATTCGAGTCTCAGCCCTTCTCCCTCCAGAGATGCAGCAACTTACCTCCCCTTCCCCAGGGGAGTCAAATATTGCAGTCTGCAGTGGCCAGGAGACTTATCAGTTTGGTCTCTCCCTGGGACCGAATATGCCAGAACGACTGCTCTGGTTGCCAAACTGCACGTCTTCCCTTCTTTATGCAGGTTTCCCATCTCCCCCTTGCCCAGCCACGGCTCTGTGCTGTACTCCTTCCCGCCGACAGAACCGTGGGAGACGTGGGCTCTTCTCCAGTGGTCAGCGAACCCCCAGACAGGGCGAGGCCTGGCGGGGGGCAGGCAGCTGGGCCATGCTAGCTAACCAGGCCTGGCGAGCTCCTAACATCGGGCTGCTCGGCGAAGCGGAGCCTGCTTCTCCCTCTGCCTGCCGCTCCCCCTGCTTGTGCTCTCTCTCTGACCTAGTTTCCTCTCCCGGAAGCCGGGAGCGTCCTCCGCCAACTCCGGAGCAAACCGCCTGCCCAGCCAGTGGACAAGACTGACCCAGGGACACGGACGCCGACGGCTCCGACAGGGCCCGCGCGGGAGCCCAAGGACCCCCCCAGCCCCGCACGGGGACAAACCCCTCTGGCAGGCGCCAGGGTCCCCACGAGGTGCCCAGGCCGGGAGCCCCGACGGCTGCAGCCACACGGGGGGAGGAGGGGGCCCCGTGCGCGCCTCCCCCGCCTCACGCCCACCTCACCTCGTCACGCGGCGCGAAGGCGGCCAGCTGCTTGATCTTGGTGGTCTGGTGGTGGCTGCACCTCCGGCAGAGCAGCACCTGGCTGCTCACCCACTGCTGCGGCTGCGCGGGCGCGCGGGGGCGGGGCGCGCTGCTCACCACGTGGTTCAGGTGCTCCAGGTACTGGGCGGGGATGGGCTTGTTGTAGTCGCCGTTCTGGGGGCGGGCGGGGGGGGGGGACGGGAGTCAGCGGGGGAGCCCAGCCCCACCGACGCCGGCGGGAGGGCAGACGCCCCAGCCGGCGCCACTCCAGACGAGAGGTGGCGGATCTCATTACACGCAGCGGCGGGAGCTCTTCTTCCGAAGAGGCTTCACGTGGAGCCCCCAGAGTGCAGCCTGCCCCCCACCCCGCCAACCTGCACCCCGCGGGCTGGCCGCCTGGGTTTGTGCGTGCAGTCTTCCCGCAGCAGAGCCCGGTGGCGTGGCAGAGCTGGGCGGTCGCGGCCGAGCACGGCCCGCGGGGAGCCTGCCGACGCCTGGTCTGACGCAAGGCAGGCAAGGGGCGTCGGAGCCAGAAAGAGCCGGCTGCGAACCCCGAGCCTCCACCTGTAGCAGCGTGACCCTGCCACCCCGGCTCCCTGGGCCCGCACCTCCTGGAAGCCGTTGTACTGCTCACAGTGCGGACAGTCCCAGCAGTTGCGGTTCCCGTACGGCACGACCGTGTCCTGGTTGCAGAACCAGCAGTTGACGATGGTGTGTGTCGGCTTCATCCTGTGGACGAGGACAGGGTCGCGTCAGCCAGAAGAGCTCTGCCTCGCGTGCTACGGGGACCCGAGAAAGAGCACAGGAAGCAGGACGTGGGACCCAGAGCCGCAGACACAGCGGGCTGGAGGAAATGACTCGGTGAGGGGCTTGGCTGCGTGTTGAGGGCTCACCAGGAGGACCAGCAAGGAGGCAGAGGCAGGGTCAACCTTCTCCTCAGGCCACAGGCTCCACCCCCCACCACGGGGACAGCTGAAGATGCACCAGACCCTTTGGCTCCTGCTGGTCTACGTGGGAACCCAGGGCCACCAGCTCCCGGCGTCCTGGGGCTCAGGCAGGGGGAGCAACAGGGGGCCAGGCCCTAGGACCACCCTCCTGAGGTCTGCAGACCCTGGGCCTGTCCCTGGGCTGTGGAAACGGTGCTCCTCTGGGCGTTTCCAGATGGCAGGAGCCTCCTGTGCTCCACAGATGAAAACCCCAAGAGATGGAGGCCGAGGACACTGAGGGGCGGGGACTAGAGACAGCTGCTCAGACTGGAGCCAAGCGTCCCTGCTGGGGGGTACAGGGCAGGCAATCCACAGTGGCCCTGGTTGGCCACACATGCGGTGACAGGTGGGGTCTGCAGGATAATCCCGGCCCAGACACTGGGGGATCTGTGCTCTGGGCCCCTCCGCCCACCTCACTGGCTGTGGCGGGGGCCAGGGGGAGTAGAGCAACTGCCCAACAAACCCCCCAGTCCCAGGGATCTAGAAACCATGTAGGCAATGGGCGGCAGTTACTTGAGCCCTGGGTTCCTGCCCTCACGGCCCCTGTCCCCCCCGCCAAAGGCCACCTCCAGCTCTGGGGTACTGCCTGGGCCCCTGCTGCCATGGGCAGCCACGACCTCGTGCTTCCTCGAGCCAGAGGCCCTGGCTCTGCCAACTTCTAGATGTGAGCCCCAGGAAGCTCCTTCTCACCCAGCTGGGCCTGCACCTGCCAAGTGCGAGCGATCATAGAACCCGTGCATCCGTGTGTTACGATGATCCGAGGACACGAGACACATAAAGGTGCTCTGTAATGCAAAGGGCCAGCTCGGTCACTCTCCTGTCCCTGGGCTTGCCAGGGGCCTTGGAGGAAGTTCCTGGATCCGCAGCTGCCTCCTGGCCTTGCCCCTTCCTTGCCCCCTACTGACCATGGGCAGGTTATGAGGGTTGTCCAGGCCTCAGTCCAACCACCTGCCACCTGGGGACAAGAGCATGTCAAGGGTGGGAAGTACTGAACAATGCCAGCGTAAGTGCTTATAAATGGTCGTGAGGGGCACCTGGGTGGCTCAGTTGGTTAAGCGACTGCCTTCGGCTCAGGTCATAATCCTGGAGTCCCGGGATCGAGTCCCGCATCTGGCTCCCTGCTCAGCAGGGAGTCTGCTTCTCCCTCTGACCCTCCCCCACTCATGTGCTCTCTCTCTCTCTCAAATAAAATCTTTTTTTTTTTTTTAAAGATTTTATTTATTTGACAGAGAGAGAGAAAGCGAGAGAGGGAACACAAGCAGGGGGAGTGGGAGAGGGAGAAGCAGGCTTCCGGCCGAGCAGGGAGCCCGATGCGGGGCTCGATCCCAGGACCCCGAGATCATGACCTGAGCCGAAGGCAGTCGCTTAACCGACTGAGCCACCCAGGCGCCCCAATAAATAAAATCTTTAAAAAAAAAAAATGGTCGTGAGGCTGGGAAGGGGTTGGGGGAGAGGAGGATATGCAAGGAAGGGCCCCAGGGTACAGAGGGCACCCTGCATCGCCCCCCGCAACCACAGCAGCGCACTCCCTGCCCCGGTTCAGGCCAAAGCCCTCGTGATGGACAAGGGACCGCCGCATCTTGTCAACAGCAAGAGGCCAGAGCAAGGCCTAGAAACGGCCCCGCCGCACAGCACGGCGATCATGGCTGTGCAGTGTGGCCTCTGGGCAAAGTCACCCACCTCCTGGACCCTCCACTGCTGTGGGGATAATGAGGATAACGATAATCCTTGCCCCAAACGGAGGCCGCCGAGAGGATCAAACCAGGGCATTTAGGAAAGCGCTGAGCCTGGCAGGTGGTTGGCGCAAGGCCCTTGGACAGCTTCCCTGGGCTCCGCGCAGAGAGCGGTGGGAGCGGCGCCAGGCAGGGCGAGCGGCGTGGAAACCCGCCCCGCCGAGATGCGGGCACTTGGCCTGCCCTTTGCTAACTTGTACCTGCTTTGCAGGTGTCTCTGTGATGGCGCAGGCCGAGAGATCTCTCTCTCCTGCCCCCGGGGCCCCCCCATCCTCACCATGGGCCTCCTCTACCCCCCAAACCAGGCCACGCCTGGCCTCTAGAGAGAAGCCAAGCAGAGGAACCTGCAGCCTCAGCATCAAGGGCGAGCCAGGCAGGAGGTAAAGGCGCTGGCCCTGGGGACCCATGCGGGCGAGCAGGACCTGCGGCTTCGGCCCCAGGGAGCCCCCGGAGCCCCTCCTGCCCCAGGAAGCCACCATTTCCACTCTGAAACTCCAGCTCCGCTGCTCAGGAAATGAGCCCGGCCTGGAAGCGGGGGGCAGGAAGGGGAGGCGGGGGGATGAGCTCTGGTCCCCGGGGCCAGCCAGCCGCTCTGGCTCCTGTCACTCTCATCCGTGGCAATCCCTGTCCGGGGCGGGGGTCCCCCGGCCACCGAGTCCTCCCCACAGCTCCTATGTGGCTAGTCCTCAAAGGGTCCAGGGCCCGGGAGCGGCGGATGGGCCAGTGGGCACTGGGGGGCTGGGCACGAGTGTCAGCCCCCCACCAGCGCTGCTCCTCCCAGGGCTGCACCCACCTCGGCCTCCACCTGTACCTATAACAGGCCCGACAAAGGAGTGTTAGGGTCTCTGTATTCTGAGCCAGCTTAGCACTGGTCCTGCTCTTGCCCAGGGAAAGGCCCCCCCCAGGTCCCCTCCTGACACCTCCAAACCCCTTCTCCTCAAGCCAACAATCCCCACCCCAGGGAGGCTGTAGGACAAACCACTGAGTAGTGGACGAGGTCTAAGGTAGTAAGACAGCCTGTCCCTGTAACACAGGCAAGAGTGAGACGGGCCGCAGTCAGGCCGCCTGAGGGAGGAAGGCTGGGCCCCAGCAGGTGGGCAGACAGGAGGGTCTAGAAGGGTCCACCCAGCTTCTGCTACCTGCGTGCCGAGCTCCTGGGCTCTGCTGGAGCGAGAGGAGGCCTGAAGCAGCCAGGAGCAGGGTAGGCCCCTTGGGAGAAGCAAGGGGCAGCTACATGCTCCAGACCCACCCCTCCACAAGCCCTTTTTAAATTTTTTTTTATTTTAAAGATTTTATTTATTTTTTGACAGAGAGAGAGACAGCGAGAGAGGGAACACAAGCAGGGGGAGTGGGAGAGGGAGAAGCAGGCTTCCCGCTGAGCAAGGAGCCCGATGTGGGGCTCAATCCCAGGACCCTGGGATCATGACCTGAGCCGAAGGCAGACGCTTAACGACTGAGCCATCTAGGTGCCCCTACAAGCCCTTTTAAACACACAAGCTGGGGGAAAAAAGAAGGACACATGCTCTCAACAATGGTATCACCCCATCAGCTCTGATGGACATTTAGTTAAAACGAAGCTCATGCCCTGATATTTCCTACAGATGGCGGCGGGGGCGTCTGTCCTAGGAGTGAGCCCACCACTCTGAGGGATGCAGCTCTACACCCTCGACACCTGCTGGGAGCCTAGCACCGTGTCACATAGAGGAGGCCCAAGGATAGGGCTTCATCCCTATCCAAGTGGGCTTAGCGTCTGGGGAAGACTCGTGTCTACCAGGCCCCAAGAAGTGCCGAGCCTCCCCCGAGAGGGGCCGGCCGGCAGCTTATGACTCTGGGCGCTGTGTGCTGGCTGCATGTAGTCTGGCAGATGGGCTCTATGAGAGTCAGGCTGGTTCCCTCAGGAACCAGGGGCAGGGCCCCAAAAGATCGCACAGGACAGCTTCACAGGTGAGGGGGGGCCTTGCTGGACACCCAGGTGGCTCCTCACTTGCTCCTCTGTGCCCCACGTGCCCAGCACATGCCGTCCTATCCGGCCGGGAGAGTCCGAGCAGGTGCCCCCGGGGGCCGCAGCACCAAAGAGCAACTTGGTGCCTCCAGGCCTCCCGCCCAGCCTCAAGGCAGTCCTGCCAGCACCAAGCCAGAAAGCCCCCAAATCCACCTCTCTGGGGGCAGACCTGGCCTGGGGATGGCGGACTGCCCTCCTTCACCTCAGCACAACCTGTGTTTCCCGAGCACACGCTAGGCTTGTAGGGAGACTGAAATGAGCAAGGCTCTCCACTTCCGACCTGGACAAGAGGACGAGAACGACAAGTTCACAGGGCAGCTGGTCACAGATGTCACAGGAGGCCAACACGCAGAGCATTTGCCGTTACCCTAAGGAACGGGTTTGCTGGTCAGCAGGGCACAATGAGCAGATGGCATTCAAACAGGCGGGGCTGCCGGGCCGAAGGGGGAGGGGACACCCAGCGTGCATCCAGGGAGTGGTGGCCCCTCAGCTAGCAGCCGGAGTGTGTGGCCAGAGGTGGGCGGGAGACAGGGACTCTGGACGCCAGGATGAGGCTCTGCGACTTAACCCGGGAGGCTGCTCTTCTCCGTCTCCAAACCCCAGAAAGGAGATAATCCAACAAACACCCATGGGTGCCACGGGAGGCCCCTGAGGCCCTGAGCAGGGATATGCTGGCAGAAGATAAGATCCTGGACACAATGCGGAGCAGCAGAGTCCGGAGATAGCAGTCAGGTGGGGGCAGGAACAGACAGCCATCGCGAGCGCCTGGAGGCAGGGCAAACTAGCCCAGGGAAGCGGAATTCAGGCTCCCAGCCCGTGCGGACAGTGGTGGCCTTCTGCGCGTGCTCAGCGAGGACCCAGAGTGTGGGGCTTGGTTAGGAGCTGAAGGGCTAGAGTGGATCTGCTGTTCAACAGAGGCAAGAGAAGGGCATAAGCCCAACGCTGGAGGGAGAAGGGCTCAGTCTCTGCAGGGCTGGTCTTGCTTCTGGAGCAGGACAGTGACCAATTTACGATGCCCAGACAAAAGCCAGTGCTTTTTGAAAATCTCAGAGCATTCTGGGAGAGGTCTGGTCCTTCTCAGCCCGACCAAGAGGTCCCCACGCCACACCATGACTCTGGTGTCATGCCGCTGGAGTGCAAAGGCCTCCCAGGTACCCTCCTGGGTCCCCGTGAACCAGCTTGCCCGACACTGCCCCGAGGCTCCAGATTCCTACCTCCGGGGGAGGGGAAGTTGTGCCTAGCAGCCCAGGAGGGAAGAACAGGACCCCTGAAAACAGCCACAGCTGAAGACACAGGGGCTTGAGGCACAGTGAGCAAACCCAGCAAACTCAGCCACACTAACACACACACCTGAAGCCTGACCCAGGCTCCGATCCTTGGATTCCCCACCCCAGGGTAGCCGGCAGACAGCAGCGTCCAGGAGACAGGCCGGGCCCTGGACTCCCCTCTGCTGTCCACACCCTCTGGGAATCTGAGCAAACTGCCACGTGCCCCTGCACCTCAGTTCCCTCATGTATAAAATGACCACTTTGAACCAGCTGGTCCTGGAAGCCCCTCCAGCTTCCCGAAATTGGGCAGGAACTGGAACACTGGGAGACGTGCGGTGTCAGGGACCCCTTGAATTAGAAGCTCTTTCGATCCCCACCTATCCTCCCCTGGGAGGCCACCCCCTCCTCAGCCTGCCCGTCTGGCTCACCCTGCAGACACAGCTGATGTCCCACCTACCCTTCCTCCTCCAGGAAGCCTGTGACTCAGTCGCCCTCACTTCTTTCTCCCTCGGGTGAGAAGCAGCACATGGTGGCGGTTAACGAAGAACCACCAGACTGCCCAGGTTCAAATCCCAGCTCTGCCACACCTGCTGCTGAGCGCCTGCAGGCAAGGCCTTCTCTTCTCCTACCTCCTATCTGAGCTTTGCGGGTCCCTTGCTGAAAGCACAAACCCACCCACTCTGTCCCTAGGATTTGTTCCCAGCCCTATCTTTTTTCCCTGTCATCTGCCGCTGGATCAGAGGCGGACACATCTCAAACAAGAGGCCCCTCGGCTTTTATCCCTGACCACGGAGGCCCCTCAGAGGCCCGCTCTGAACACGGGGGTCAGCATGACTGAGCGCTGCCAGGGCTGGGGCAGCCACGGAACCAGCTCAGCAGCAGGAGGCTCTCCTGCTCCCGGAGGTAGCGTACCCCAGGGGTTAGCAATGCAGGCTCCAGGCCCAGGCGGCTTCAGTTCACACGGCGGCTCTTCTAATTAATGACAATTTACTCAGCTCTTTTGTCCCCGGGCTTCCTTCTCTACGGGCTGCTGGGGTCGTGACTCCGACTGGGCCCCTATGAAATCAGACCAACGCCTGAGACAGCGTACGCCGACCAGAAAGGGCCAGCTAGCATCAGTCCATTCCAACGCGTGCCCGCGGAGCAGGGCTGAAGGCGGACGAGCGCGCAGTGCCATCTCGGCGGCTCTCTCCCGCAGGGCGCCGGGTGTCGGGGTGGGCGTGGGGCGGCCCCGCAGATCCCGCGGCTCGGCAGGCACGCGTCTCCGCGGGGGAGGAAGTTTGTAACCCACGCGCTGGCCGTCCTCGTCCGCCCCGCATTTCTGGGATCCCCGAACCCACTCCCCGGCCGCTTGCCCACCGCGAAGCTGCCCAACCCAGCCCCCAGGGGGACGCGGGCGTGCACAGCGGGCCCCGGCGCGTGGGCGCACAGGCCGGGCCCCCACCGCCACGCCGCGGCCTCGCGGGCAGGGAGGAGCCGTGCGGCCCCGGAGCGGGCTGGGGCGGGCGGAGGGCGGCGGGCCGAGGCCGCGTGGGCCGCGCGCACTCACCTCCGCGCGATCCGGTAGAGCAGCACGCCGGCCGCGGCGCACGCCGTGACTCCCAGGCCGCCGGCCAGGCCGGCCGTGGGGCAGCGGGCCAGCAGCGCGCTCACTCCCTCCATGGTTCCCCGCGCGAGCGGCGGGCAGCGGGCGGCGGGCGGTGGGCCGCGGGGCTGGGGTCCCAGGGCCGCAGGCGGGACGCGGGGCGGCGGCCGCGCCGTGACCTTCGCCGCTTTGTAGCCGGCGCGGGCCCGCCCCCTGACTCGGCGCGCTCCCGCCGCGCAGCCAATCGGGGCTCGGGGCGAGCCCGGGGGGCGGGGCGCCGGCGGAAGCGGTGGCACCGGGCCGCGCGCGCCCCCCCGCGGCGGGAGGTGGGAGGCGGCGAGGCGCCCGCCCGCCCGCCGCCCGCCGCGTCCTGCAAAGTCCGCCAACCTTAGCGCCTCGGGGCACAGGCTGTAAGTAGTCTTTTCTCCCTCCAGTCCGGTCTGCCCAACGCTGGCCAAGACCAGCCTGCGCGCGAATAGCTGTTTTGCTGCAAGTTGCAGCTTTTTAAGCCACTCCATTAAACAAAGTAATAGGTAATGGAGACAGGAACGTCCATCCACAGGGGCGAGGTTGAACGAATCACGGGACAGCTCTACCTCGGAACTTCGGAACGTAAGGTGGGAGCTATGAGTACTGGCCTGGAGGGAGGATACTGTTCAAAAAAAAAAGGTGGGGGCGGGGACATGCACACTGATTTTGGGAATAACGAAGCTTGAATAAAGACACTCCTAGAAGGTGTGTATGCTTGTAGGAAGTCGAGGACTGTTAGCGTTGAGCTGCAAAGTTACCCCAGGGGTCTGGATTTAGAGAAGATTCACTTTATGCCAGTTTCAGTATTATTGGTTTGAGCTAAATTACTTTCATAACTAAACAAAACAAAAAACCCAGCTGGTTGTAAATATTCGTGTTCAGTTATACATGTCTCAGTGTCCACACTTTTCCAGCATTTCTGAGGTCAAATTGGAGTTCTTCCTGTGGTGGACAGTGTTGGTGTGGGGTCATTTAGCAGCAAATGTTACCGTTGTTTCCTGTTGCCAATTGATCTGTCCTGCACCCTAGTCACCGGCATTTCTAGGAGCTGCAGAGGGGGCAGGGAGCAGGGCACAGGACCCAGGGGCTGGAGAGAGAGGCTGCTGCTGTTTCTTCCACGTGGGTCAGAGCCAAGGCCTTGCTTTGCCCGTGTTGCTGCTCTCACGACAAATGCACAAAGAGCAGTGAAACCTCCTTTATAATGTGTCGCACTGTATTTAAGTACCATTTTCCTTCCGAGTTAGATTCAGAGACTGCACGATGTCCCACTCACAGGGTGGCCAACAGTGTCCTGGGGGTTACACTAGTGTGATCTCACCTTCATCAGTGGTAGTGCCTGTGGGCTCGTGATCCTTGAGTGAATGGAATGGTGTGCTGGACCTTGGCTTCGGTCAGACCATTCCACAGGCTCAGATGCCCCCTTTAGCTTATATTCATCTACCCAACACGCACTACAAACCCACTACTGGCCATTTTACAACTTACCATCTCTCAGACCTCAAACAAGTCATTAAACCTCTGAGCCTCTCTTATTTGTAAAATGTGGATTATGGTAATACCTGCCTCACGAGGTGGTGTCAGAAATAATTTCCATGAGAAAATACAGAACATCTTACACAGTGTTTGGTACTTCAAGTCTTATACGTAGGGCTACTTAAAAATAATGAAATCCCAATGACTGAGCTTGTGCGCAAGAGAGAAATAAATCATGGGATCTCCCCGTGGACAGCTCAAACAGCGACAATTCCCATTTTAAATCTGACAAGCCACTTTATGGTTTCCTGCTTTTCTTCCTACTTCTGGTGCTCACCTTTTTCATTTCAATGTTCTGGTGCAGAAGCAATCAGAGAACTAAATGATCCTAGGTCAGCATCAAATTTATTAATTCAAGAATGTAGAAATGAAAATTATTTTCAAATAATTCTCATACCCAATTAGCAAATATTAAGCAACCTAGTTTTTAAACCTTCAAATCTTGAGGAAAAATTCAGGTTTTAATATGAATACTAAAATAGGAAGATGCTGCTAAATGCCACTATCAAACCGAGCTCCTGGAATAGAAATCTCTTGACTGCTATGCGGTTACATTTTGATTTATTTGGACTTCCACACAGTTGCTACAGTTCAAGCAAATTCTACCAGTGAGCTCAAGCAAACCAACTAACCTCCTTCATGCCTAAAGATGAGCAAAGTTAAACTCCATTTAAATACAATTTGAAAATATCCTATTCTCATCCCCAGTGCATCTGCAACTGAATCTGAAACTATAATGCATCAGTTATTAGAATCCAGTATCTTTCTAGATATTCAGACTGAAAACTAATCTCAATGGACAATAAGCAAATTCCAGTGGAAGAGCTAATGGAAGGCCGTCCGTCTTACCTGCCTTCTGCATTATCTTTGTCCCTTATTAAATTTCCTTTAAAAATGGGGAGTGATGGGGTGTGGTTAAAATTCTGGTCATTTGTAGGCTTTTTTTTTTTTTTTTTTAAACACTGAACTAGGGTATTTATTTATTTATTTTTATTTATTTTTTTTTTTAAAGATTTTATTTATTTATTTGAGACAGAGAGAATGAGATACAGAGAGCATGAGAGGGAGGAGGGTCAGAGGGAGAAGCAGACTCCCTGCCGAGCAGGGAGCCTGATGCGGGACTCGATCCCTGGACTCCAGGATCATGACCTGAGCCGAAGGCAGTCGCTTAACCAACTGAGCCACCCAGGCGCCCCCGAACTAGGGTATTTAAACACACCTCCTGTGAGAATAAAAGAGAACTCTTTGAGAGGTGGGCAATCAACCCTGTGTCACCTCCCTCTCCCCAGTGCTAGGGACCCAAGAACAGGGTTAAAGACCTGACAGGAAAAGTCTATTACCCTACTCCACATTCACAGCTGACACTTATATAAGGTACCTGGGCTTGACCAGACTTAAACTTCTGGAAATAGGTCCAGGAGTAAGACAATCAGTGAATAGTTCATTAAAACTCCTGCCTTTGGTTCAAACTGGGGATAAAGGATAACTTTAGAAAGATGTTTACAGTTTAAAATATTTAGTATCAGAAAGTTGTACTTATTTTTTTTTAACTCAGCAGACTGAAGGCTTAAATTATCAATCTGCGTGAGACTTGGAAATGTACAGATTAAAAAAAATGGCTGGGAAGTCTGTCTCGGTCCACCCAGTGCCACCAAAATGTGACACATCTTACCTGTTCAGCGGTGTAGTGTCACATGAGACAATAAGTTGTATTTTGATTCTGCAGGTTTTCTCTGCATTTCTAGGGTCATGTTTCACTAAAGTACTTAGGAATAAGTTTACAGCACAGTGAACATAAAAGAGGACACAAACCAAATTTATACTTAAATTAAGTAGCATGATTTAATTTAGCTGCTGCTTAATCCTGAATCCTCTTAAGTTAAAAAAACAAAAGTTATAATTAACTATTAACGTTAATGAATTTAAACCTTCCAGAAAACATGAATCCAAAAGGAAATGTCCAACGGGTGATACAGGCCACATATTTTATGGCCTTTCCTGTTTCAGTCTCAAACATTCTAAACATCAATGGAAAAAAAATTTTCTCTAGAGTTTTTCAATTTTATTCTTCTAGGGCACAATTTTCTGGCCCATTACTGGGTACGGTCTTCTAACAGGTACACAATTAACTCATAGGTAGACAACACAATGGCAGTATTTGGTATCTGCCGGATGAGCTGGGCAAAGAGTCCTCTATAGAAGGCAAGGTAACCTTCTTCCCGGAAGACCAGCCGAGCGGTCTGGACAAAAGACTTGTACTTGGTGCCTTCCTCCCGGAGCCGTGTCCTTATGACTTCTGCAGACAGAAACACATACTTTATGCTACAAACGAACTGCATCACCAAGTGATACAATGAGAGAATTCAAAGCACACAGCTCTGTAACCGTCAATGTACATCTCCGGCTATTTGCCATCGGAGTTCTACTTGGACAGCAAAGTCGCTTAGGGACAATGAAAAGTTGCAATCTTTTTAGAACATTTTCTAACTCTGGGCAATGGTCAATTAGGGACATTACATATACAGACAAAAGTACAAAGTAACTTTTAAGGGACTGTAAAAGCTTACTTTGAATGGGACTTCATTTTAAGATAGTTTGTGGTTTTCTACTCCCAATTAAGCAAACGCTGTAATTTCACTGAAGGTGTAATTTGTATTAAGCATGGCAAATCATCAAGATTTTCTTTTCATGTACTTGCCAACTTCCTCTCCCACTAAAACCCTTCACCACTCTCTCCAGCTCAAAAGCTGCCTCCTACATTTTCAAACCTTTGCACACCTGGCCCTCCCTGACGCAGCCACGCCCAGCCTGACACCTGTCACTGCCTGGCACGCTCCCATCTTCCCCAGCCCACAGAAGGCAGCCCAACCTCTTTTCCCTGAGCCCTGGGGAGCCGCTTAGTGTCCCAGCATGTGACAAGGGCTCAATTACCTGCTTTGGAGCTGACCACGTACATTCGTCACAGCTGACAGCACAGCGGGCTTTTGGAAACAAAACCCCTTTTGCATGGTACAATAAACTAAGCTATTCTTTTTTAAAGTAGGTCAGTGGATGGGGCGCCTGGCTGGCTCAGTTGGTTAAGCATCTGCCTTCGGCTCAGGTCATGATCCCAGGGTCCTGGGATCGAGCCCCGCATCGGGCTCCCTGCTCGGCCGGAAGCCTGCTTCTCCCTCTCCCACTCCCCCTGCATGTGTTCCCTCTCTCGCTGTCTCTCTCTCTGTCAAATAAATAAATAAGATCTTTAAAAAAAATTAAAAATGTAGGTCAGTGGAACATTAGGTCTCTAATTCCTTAAAAAACAGACTTAGCAAAGTAGCCTCACTCAGCACTCCGTTCAAAGTGGAAGCTGAGCGATTTTTTTTTTTTTTGGTTGGCACTCACACCATTTTTTTAAATCGAGGAATTTTAAAGATTTTATTTATTTATTTATTTATTTGAGAGAGAGAGAGAGAGAGCACATGAGAGGGGGAAGGGTCAGAGGGAGAAGCAGACTCCCTGCTGAGCAGGGAGCCCGATGCGGGACTTGATCCTGGGACTCCAGGAT